TTTTGTTTGATTGCACTTTATTTACATAAATACACACAAAGCATATACACACACACACGCACACACACATACACACACACAAATATATATATATTTTTTATGTTACAACATTCATTTCAGACGTAAGAAAATGTACAATATACTTGCAGTGGATAATCAAAAATGTTATTATTTTTACACATTTTGAGTATAGAACTTACATTAAAAGACGAATTATACTAGTGAGCCTTGTTAATCCTATACATGTTTCTTCTTGCAAAACGATTCTTCTCATATTTCCCATTATTTTGTTTCTTCATCTACCTTTCCATCACCCTCTCCTCTCACTCTTTCTTTCTCGTCTCCTTCTCTCTTGTTCTCTGTACACCATCTTCTTCTTCCTATCCTCCCTTCCTGCCCCCTGATTCTTCTTCTTTTTTTGCATTTTCTTTGTACAAAGCGATTCGAACACGCTGATGTCTAGACCAATGTGACCAATTTTTCAGGCCTAATAACACACGACAGTCTAAACCAGTGTGTCTGTTCTTTTAGGCGTAGTAACCCCACATAAACGCAGCGATGCACATGACGAGTATAGAGGCTCCATCTACAACACTGAAATAAATATGTCGCACATTAAAAAAAAATGTTATGTATGAGTATGATAAATAATATGACTAAGTATGAGAAATGTTTTTTGTAATATGAGAAGTAATGTAAACAAATAAGAAAAATGCATGGGAATTAACATCCGGTGGTATGAGCACTGGTTGCATGACTATGAGAAATAATATTCATAATATTCAGGTATGAGAAATGATATGTCTGAATATGTGAAATAATGTGAATGAATGCGAGAAATACGTATCTGCGGTTATATTTTGTTTCATGGCTATACCTATTAAATAGCTTAAGAAAAAGGCAAGCAAGGAAGGAGGGTGGAAGAGTGAAAGGAAGCCGGAGAGAAAGAGAGAGAGAGAGGGAGAGAAAGAAAGAAAGAAAGAGAGAGAGAGAGAGAGAGAGAGAGAGAGAGAGAGAGAGAGAGAGAGAGAGAGAGAGAGAGAGAGAGAGAGAGAGAGAGAGAGAGAGAGAGAGAGAGAGAAGAGAAGACAGAGAGAGAGACACAGAGGGAGAGAGACAGAGATAGAGACTAAGACAAATAGACAGAGACAGAGACACACAAAGAAAGACGGAAAAAGTGAAAAAGAGAGACCATTATAAAAAAAAAAAAATGTTCCTTACTTCGTCCAGGGCCTCTTCTCCTGCAAGAACTCGACCGCCCTGGTAGCTTTCTGCTCTGGCGTGAGGTGCTCCTCCGGATTCTCCTCCTGCACCTGCGACACCTTCTGCGTCTCGACCCCGCACACGCAGTTGAGGGCCCTCCGCCACAGGGGAAGTTCTGCGGGCGGAAAGGCGTGGAGTGAGAGAGGTAGGCTCATACGCTGGGATTATAGGCCTATTGGTTGTATACTTGTAGTACGTTTTCCTTTATATTTTTTATGCACATGTAGGTAAATGACCAAAATTAAAATAAGAAGAATAAATAAAATATAATCTAAAAAAAAATAAAAACGAACACATTAATAATAAAATAGAGATAAAGAAAAAAAAACATGAAACAAAAACGTTTCCCCATTACCTTCTCCGCTGCTCGACACCGACGAACTGCGCTCTGCATTGTTCTGCTTTTTCTCCTCCACGACCTCCTCCCCCCCTTCCTCCTTCTCCGGAACGACCTCCCCCCCGCCGTTCTCCGCCACGCCCTCATTCGTATAGGCAGCGGCGGTCTTCTTCCTGTTCAACCACTCGCGGATGGACACTCGGACCTCCGTGCTGCCTCGCGTCCAGAAGGTGAGGCGGTGGAGCTGTGGAGAGAAAGGGAGAGAGAGTGTGAAAGGAGGAGGGATGGAGGGAAGGAGGGAGAGTGTGAGAGGAGGAGGGATGGAGGGATGGAGGGAAGGAGGGAAGGAGGGAGAGAGTGAGGGATGAAGGGAAGGAGGGGAGGAGGGAGAGAGTGAGAGGAGGAGGGATGAAGGGAAGGAGGGAGAGAGTGAGAGGAGGAGGGATGGAGGGAAAGAGGGAGAGAGAGGATGAGTGAAGGAGGGCAGGAGGGAGAGAGGGAGAGGAAGAGGGATGAAGGGAAGGAGGGAAGGAGAGAAGGAGGGAGAGAGTGAGGGATGAAGGGAAGGAGGGAGAGAGTGAGAGGAAGAGGGATGGAGGGAAGGAGGGAGAGAGTAAGAGGAGGAGGGATGGAGGGAAGGAGGGAGAGAGTGAGAGGAGGAGGGATGGAGGGAAGGAGGGAGAGAGTGAGAGGAGGAGGGATGGAGGGAAGGAGGGAGAGAGTGAGAGGAGGAGGGATGAGGGATGGAGGGAAGGAGGGAGAGAGTGAGAGGAAGAGGGATGGAGGGAAGGAGGGAGAGAGTGAGAGGAGGAGGGAAGGAGGGAGAGAGTGAGAGGAGGAGGGAAGAGGAGGGAAGGAGGGAGAGAGTGAGAGGAAGAGGGATGGAGGGAAGGAGGGAGAGAGTGAGAGGAGGGGGGATGGAGGGAAGGAGGGAGAGAGTGAGAGGAGGAGGGATGGAGGGAAGGAGGGAGAGGGTGAGAGGAGGAGGGATGGAGGGATAGAGAGGAGGAGGGAAGGAGGGCAGGAGGGAGAGAGTGGGAGGAGGAGGGATGTAGGGAAGGAGAGAAGGAGGGATGGAGGGATGGAGGGAGAGAGTGAGAGAAGGAGGGATGGAGGGAAAGAGAGAGAGAGTGAGAGGAGGAGGGATGGAGGGAAAGAGTGAGAGGTGGGAGTAGGGTGGAGGGAAGGAGGGAGGTAGGAAGGGAGGGTGGGAGAAAGAGAGAGAGAGAGGGAGGGAGAGAGAGAGAGAGAGAGAGAGAGAGAGAGAGAGAGAGAGAGAGAGAGAGAGAGAGAGAGAGAGAGAGAGAGAGAAAGAGAAAGAGAGAGGGAGAATTATCATCATCATCACCATCATAATAACACTTACGCATTCCTCAGGGATAGGCTCGGTGAGATAGGACACGACCACAGTCACCACGAGGACGATCACGAACAGAATGCAACCAAAGTGCAGATAGTGGACATTTCCAACCACGATTTTGATCCATTCCGGGCGAGGATCCTCTTCTAGTGCTGAGGGAAAAGGGAGGAGGAAGAGGTGATAATATGAATTGTTTTTTGATGTGTGTGACTGTGTGATTTTGTGATTGTATGTGATTGTTATTGTGTGTGTGATTGTAATTGTGGGATTGTGATTGTGAATGTGTGATTGTGTGAGTGTGTGTGTGATTGTGTGAGTGTGTGTGTGTGGTGTGTGTGTGTGTGTGTGTGTGTGTGTGTGTGTGTGTGTGTGTGTGTGTGTGTGTGTGTGTGTGTGTGTGTGTGTGTGTGTGTGTGTGCTTGTGTGTGTGTGTGTGTGTGCGTGTGTGTGCGTGTGTGTGTGTGTGTGTGTGTGTGTGTGTGTGTGTGTGTGTGTGTGTGTGTGTGTGTGTGTGTGTGTGTGTGTATAAATATATATATATAAATATATATACATATCTATATGTATATGTATATATATATATATATATATATATATATATATATATATATATATATATATATATATATATATATCTGCCCTCTACACAATTATTAATTTATCTCTCCAAAAATCAGTGCGTATATATATATATTTTCATACTAAACAAACGTGCCGTACAAACGTTTCGCATAAAAAACGTTCAATTTCGTATACTTACATCCGCATGGGGGGACGACAAAGGCGTATTCCATGATGAACCGGATAAGGCCGATAATTAAGCCAATCATCAGACCCCAGAAAGCTCCCTGTGAATATTAATTCGGTTATTTATATTTGTTTTTATTATATATTCATTATACTGATAATTGGGATATATATGTTATTTCCATTTTATTTTATGAATGTGCTTAGTATCATCACTATCGTACTTCTTGCTTTATTATAGAAAATAGGTTCTATATTATTCAAAGAAAACGCGAGGGATATTGGGCTAACTATGCTGTGATTTTATTATATTTTCAAGGTTGTGCGAAAGCCACCGTTGAACGAGTATTGTTAGTATTAACAACAAAAAGGGTTATAATGTTAGTAATAATAAGGATGATGATGTCAACAACAATAATATTAACAACATCATCATCATAATTACTATTAGAATTGTTATCATCATTATCATAATTATTTATTCTTATCGTCATCACAACAACGCCAATCATAATCAATACGTACCGGTTCCGTGGTTCTTGACCAGAAGATAGCGAGGAGATAGACAGCGCAGATTGGAGGAGATAAGAACGAGGAAATACTCTGGATATACACGAACAACTGGGAATTTGCCGAGCCCCTGATTGTGGGAAAAACGTGGGGGTGTTAGGGTTTGTGCTCAGAATTGGGGGAGGAGAAGACGGGGTTGTAGGGAGGTTTTGAAGGGGGGGGGGGTGGTAGGTGGGGTTTCTGGTAATTTGTGATGTATATTTTTATACATCAAACAATGGGTTTGGGGTTGAGGGGAGGGGGTTCTGTTGCTATATTTCTCTCTCTCTCTCTCTCTCTTTCTTTCTCCTTCTGCCCCTCCCTTTTTTCCCTTATCCCTCACCTGCTCCCTTCTTTACTTCCCTTTCCAGTCCCCCTTCCTTCCATTCCTCGTTTTTGTTCCCATCTCTCCCTATTTCTTACTCCCCTTCTACCCTTCTTCTTTCTCCCTCTCACTCTCTCCTTCCTTCTCTCCCTTTCACTCATCTTCCTTCTCTTACCTCTTTCTTTCGTTAACCCTGCCCTCCTTCTTTCTCTCCCTTCCTACCCCCTCTCTCTATCTTCATGCCCTCGCTCTCTTTCTCCCTTCCATCCCTCCCCCTCCTTCCATTTCTTCATATTTCTCCCTCTCTCTCTCTCTCTTCCTTCCCTCCCTTCCACCCTCTCTCACCCTCCCGAAACTCACTGGATAACAGGAATCCAGATGACCGAGATAACGACGAGGACGAGGACGAAGGCCCTGCC